CAAAAAATGTAAAAATTAAAGTTTCAGTTCATGCACTTTTGTTTTCTCTTTCAGGAGTGGTTGTAAATATAATGAGCTATCTCTAGATGATATTCGAACACTAAGGACTTCTTTGTATGGACTAATTAAATATTTTCTGTGCAAAGGTGGAACTCACGAAGAGATACAAAGTATTATGGGTTACATAGCTGCTACTAATGAAGAAGACCAGGTATAACGCCTGAGATAAATCTATTTTTCCTTTTTAACATTGAAGTTGCTATGTCATCTTATTATAAAGTTGCATTTTGTTTGATTAAATATTTTAAGAGGAAAATATGTATAGTCTCACACAATACCATGCAGTTAAAGAATTAAATTTTGTTGACTAACTGAAAGTTTAATAAAATAGATGGCCATGTAATTTAATATTTCAGTTAGCTAGAAAATATAGTATGTGGAAATAGTTGCTTTGTCTGGCAGTTCTGAAGTCTGTTTTCAAAGTCTACGTGGTATATGTTTACCTATCATCAAAGTTACTGGGTAGATTTCTAACATGAATTTTAATATAACATAGATTTATAAAAATGTTGCATAAAGAGTAAATTGTAAATGTGTATCTAATTTTAAAATACTTTTACATACATTAACTCATTTAATCCTTAGAAATACCCTTTAAGGCAGTGGTTCTCATCGAATGGTCCCTGACCAGTGTTACCTGGGAACTTGTTAGAAATGAAAGTATATTACTGATTCAACTTCCAGGTTATTCTGTCATACATGGTAAAATTTGAGAACCACTCATATAAAATATACAGATCAAGAATTACTCTTCTCATTTACACTTTTGGAAATTTATATCCAGGGAGACAATATGATTTAAAAAGTCACAGCTGATAAACCTGGAACTAGAACCCAAGTATATTTACTGCTGTTTCAGCACTCTTTCTGTATAACCCTCTTAGCATCACAAATTTGAGCAGATTTATGTCCACTAAAATATTTTGCCCTCATATGTAATATTCATTGCATACTCAGTGGTTACATGACTTCAGATTTGGTATTATGTAGTGAGTTAACTTAGGTGATTTTCCTGTAAGGTTGGACTGCCTCAAAAGCTTCTCATTATTTAGAATGATGAGTAGCCATCTTATTTCATGATAGTTGCATCTGTGATTCATTGCCAATGGTATTGTCTTGGTCAATTCAGTCAAAGCATTAGTTGTTGAGAACCTACCATATACAAAGAATAATATTAAATGTTGCAGCTAATGTAAGGATGAATGAATTATTATTCTTACTTTTACCCTTATATGGGAAGGTGTCAGTAAGAGGCTTACAAATAACTATGAAGCAAAGTGTAGTATGGTAATATCTTTAAGAGCGATACAAAGTCCTACAAAGTTTTCATAAGAGGGTTTTACATGTTGAGGAGACCAGGAAAGGCTTTATGGAAGAGATGCATTTTCATATGGACGAAGCAGAATAGGTAGGGTTTCAGCAGGTGAATATGGACAGTGAAGAGGAGGTATGCAAAAGGAAATGGAGTAAGACAAAAAGCAGGGCTGGTTCAGAAAACATCAGATAGTGCAGTTAAGCTAAAACATTAGGGTATGTAGGATTTGGTTAAATATTTTGTGATTTACGACTTTCGTTTTGCTCTTATATATGAGTTTGTTTTGTGTTGTTTAATTTTAAAAGCTCTTTGGAATTTTGGATATACTCTTCAGTCTCCTACGTACCAGCCCAACTAGAGGTCAGCTTTTCTTACTGCTGTTTGAACCAGGAAATGCTGACATACTTTATGCCTTGCTTTTAAATCAGAAGTACTCCGACAGACTAAGAGAAATCATTTTTAAGGTACAAACATTTCTTAAGCATCTTTTTATTTAGGGACATTTGTGGGTATATGAATTTTCTTGCAACATAACCATTCTGTGACTATACATTCTTTTTTCATATCTATTTCTGGTTTTAAATTGTTCAACTTATTTTTATATACATTTTTCATGTTTCAGTTTACATAATAAAAAACTAATTATATTGTAATCTGAAAAATCATCTCAGTGGAATACTCACTTTGTCATACCATCCTCATCTCCTCTTTGACTTATGGTGGGGTCTATGTGGCAATTCACAACATTTTAATAGTTAATAATAATAGCTAACCTCATGTAGCACCTAGTGTATGTCAGGCGCTAAGTACTTTTCATATATGAGCTTACTTAATCCTTTCAACAACTTTATGAAGTAGGTATTGTTATTATTCCCATTTTACAGATGAAGAAACAGAGTCCAGAGAGATTAATAACTTGTTAAACATATGGATGAGTTGCTTCACAAATATTTCCTTGTCCTTGAAAATTATTTTGATAACTGTTATATAAATGGATTACTAGATTGATCCAGAGCTGTCTTGACACACCTTTGTTCCTCTTGTAAGCTGTATGGTTTGTTTCTATTTAAGCCTTACCC